AAAAAAATATCGATATCAGTATTAAATTAATCTTTTTAAAAGTTATTGTGTTTTGATGTAATTTTCTTAATTAAATTCTGTTAGTTATCAATGATTTTAAAACTCTCACTAATATGAGACATTTAAAACTCAACCTCATGAGTTGACACAATTAATCTCAACATTTTTGTATATACATCTCCTTATTACAAATACATTATGCGTAGGTACAACTTAATATAACTTAATGTTTGAATCATGTAACTAACTATAGATAAACATAATCAAATAGATGATAAACATCTTTTAAATATAAAAAATCTAAAATATAATTAAATTATCATTGAATTCTAACAACATACTTAATTATTATATTTAAAAAAAATATTAAACCAAAAATAAATTAGTTCGTTTTTAAACTTCAATCAAATTATAATAAAAAATTGAGTTAAAGAAATTACACAAAATTACATAAAAACTTTTTTTATCTCAAAACTATATAAAATCACATTATAACATCGATATAACCAAAATATAAAACAAAACATTAAAATCAAGATTTATCTCGCTGCAACCCTTTTACTAATAAAAAAATTGAATGAAAGAAATTACACACAAAAACAAAAAACTTTTAAATAGTTAATTCGATATTAATATCGATATATTTTTTCATAAATTTACAATTTTTTAAATTTATATTTTATTCAAAAATAAAACATTATCGTTTTCTCAGAACCAAATAAAATCGTATTATAAAATCGATAAAAAACAAAATAAAACGAAATATTAAAATCAAAATATATTTTATTACATTAAGTAAATACCATTCTCGTTATAAAAAAAAACGAAAAATAAAGGAGTGGTTTGTACTTTTCTCTTAAATAGAACCACATACGTTTCAATCTATTTTTGTATTAGAGTAAATTACAATTTTCGTCCCTATGTTTTATTCTTTATAACTATTTTCGTCCATGTGGTTCAAGAATTACCTTTTTTGTCCCTATGGTTTTCATTTTATTTCTCATTTTATCCCTAAACTTACGAGGCTATATACTTTCCGTTAGATAAAGGGTATTTTACCCTTTTTTAATTTCTCATTAATTTTAAAAAAAAATTATATATATATATATATATATATATATATAATTTTGTCTCTATCTTCTCCTCTTGGAAGTTGGAACCACTAACACATCTCTTATCCTTTTTGTTATCTCGAATGAACTCCACTCCGGTCCATACCATCTTATATAACAGAATATATTGTTTTTTTCTTCTTCAAACCCGACAAAAGAGAGATCAGCAATACCAAGTAAACCCAACAAACGTTCTTAGATTATTTATGCATTCAAGGGGAGTTTGATCTTAAAACCTTAAATCTTGAAACAACGGAATAGTTATTTCTTAAGAAACTCAACCAAGATCAATAATTGCTAAAAGAATTAAGGACCCAATGGGTTTCGTGCAAGAAATCTATTCAAGAAAAGGGAAAGCGGAAGATTTGAACTCATTTAATTAAGGTCATGCAACTAGAGTAGTAGTGAAAAGTGATTCTGTAGATGCTTTCATCTCATTTTAAAAATTGATCCATAGATACCATAACAGACATAGTTAACAACTTGATGTTCAAATGAAAAAAAAATACTAAAAAGACCTGATTAATTTAACTGACTTTTTTCAAATGAAAACAACAAAGATGAAAAAAGCAAATTTTGAACAACAAGGACGAAACTAGTTATAAAGATCAATCCACAGGGACTAAAATCGTTAGTGAACTTTCTCTTTAAATACAAAAATCTGTTGCTTCATATTTGCAACTAGCCATCTTTCTCAGATTCATTTTAATTCACAAAATGATATCAAATAGCATCTGGTCATGGTGGTCGGAAGTTATCAGCAACAAATACGACCTCACTCTCGTATTACTTATTTTTTCAGTCATCACATTGGCCGTTTCGTGGTACAAATCCGCTAAGTTTCCATCGCCGCCAGGACCTCGTGGGTTGCCGGTGGTGGGGTACCTTCCGTTTCTAGGCGTGAACCTGCACCATGAATTCACCGAAATGGCTCAACTTTATGGCCCCATTTTCAAGCTCAAGCTCGGAAGTAAGACCCACGTTGTCGTGAGCTCTTCAGAACTGGCTGAAGTTGTGGCCCGTGAGCAGGACGACATTTTTTCAAACCGAGACCCTCCGGCGGCCGCTCTAGAGATCTCACACGGTGGCCAAAATATTGTCTGGTCCAACAACAACTCGCACTGGCGAAACATGCGAAAAACGTTCGTGTATCAAGTCATCAACGGCAAGAATCTAGAAGCTTCTCGGACATTCCGGCGAGGTGAAGTGAGGAAAACTGTGAAGCATGTGTATGAAACAATGGGGACGGAGGTGGATTTCGGGCGGATAATGTTCTTGGCGTCACTGAACGTCGTAACGAGCTTGTTGTGGGGGAAAAGCTTGGTTGACGGAGAAAAAAGTGACGATCTTGGAGTGGAGTTACGGCAAGTGCTTTCGAAGATAGTGGAGCTTCTGGGAACGGYGAACGTGTCGGACTTKTTTCCGGTGGTGGCGAGATTGGATTTACAGGGCGTGGTGSGAGAAATGAAGCGGCAAAGGATGGTGGTGGAAGGGATTTTCGACAGGATSATTAATGAGAGAATGRCGAGTAAAGTGGAAGAAACAGCAGAGCAGAAGGGAAGAAGAGATTTGTTGCAGATTTTACTGGAGCTTAAAGAAGAAAAGACTGCATCGTCGTTCAATATCACCCAAATCAAAGCTCTTTTCATGGTATGTATTTTATCCTCTTTCTTTGAGTAGTAAACTTCAATTTTTGTTCCTTTTTTAACTATTTTCTGTCGTTTTTAAATATTGATTTTTAGTGATTTTCAATCATGCACGATCTATGATCGTATTATCGAAAATAACAATAAACAAAAATTATAATAATTAAAAAAAATACTTAATATAATTTAAAGGAAATAATTAAAAATTACACGTAGTTATGTAACGTATTTTAACTTAATTTATATTTTGAGTAACGTACTTTCAAATCTTTCATTTTGGTACCTAAAAAGCTAAGATGTAAAGTTTTAAACATTTAAGTATCCAGGTATTCAACTTAATATTATTTGTTGACATCAATATCATAATCTAAAATTAGTATTTATGTATTGTGGTTTATTAGAAGTAGGGGTGTTCGCGGTCCGGTTTGGCCGGTTTAACCTCTCAGACCACAAACCAAACCGTAATGGCGGTTTATAAAATTTTCAAACCGAACGGTTTGACATCAAGTGTCCAGACCAGTCAAACCAGACCATAAAAAGGCGGTCTGGTCTGACCGGTTTAGGCGGCTTGGGCCTTTGATGGACTTTAAATGTTAAACTAAAAAAACATATATAATTTATAATTTTAGATTAAATATCCATTTTGATTATGTTAGATGTTAGACTTTATGTTGAGCTTAGGGATATATTTGAACTGTAGTCCATAAGTTAAAAAAGTTGGACTTGCTAATATTAAAATAAATAATTAAATTATATATATATATATATGGCGGTCGGTTTGGTCCAAACCGCCCAAAAAATGTTCCAAACCGCAGACCGGATCGAACCGCCCGGTTTTACTATTTTCCAAACCAAACCAAAC